GGGAGGTACCCAAAAAGTCGACTTTTTGGGTACCTGCTTTGGTGATGATGGGTTGGGTCATCGGGAGAAACCGATCGATTCAGCACAAGTCCGGGCGCCGAGTCGACTGTTGGGGTACCTGCTTTGGTGGTAATGGGTTGGGTCGCTGGGAGCAACCGATCGATTCAGCACAAGTCCGGGCGCCGACACTTGTGGCACTTGAATGTACCCGAGACCATGGGCAGCGCCCTGCGGCCCGTCACGGGGTTCATGCAAGAGCTGACGTCCGATGGTAAATCGGGAGGTACTCAAAAAGTCGACTTTTTGGGTACCTGCTTTGGTGGTGCTGGGTTGGGTCATTTATGGGGACGAGGGTTCAGCATTACGGGGTTCATGCAAGAGATGACGTCGAATGGTAAACCTAGGAGGTACCCGCAAAGTCGACTTTTTGGGTACCTGCTTTGGTGGTGAAGGGTTGGGTCTAAATTCTTGGGCAATGATATCCTTTATGGGGAGGAGGGCTCCGCAGGACGGGGTTCATGCAAGAGATGACGTCCGATGGTCAATCTGGGACAAAAAACCCGCGGTCCACCCACGCACGGCTAGCCCAACAGCTCCCTTCCGTACATCCTTGGTACGCAAGTACTCCGGAAGCTTCGAACTGCATGTCCTGCTCTACCGCTCGCTGCAGCGCAACTCCGAGCTTGCCGGCGACCGCCTCCGTCGTTGCTGCCACCAACTGACGCTCCAACGAAGTCATAGCCTCCACCTCCGGTCGGAAACGAAATGGAGCCGCGTGTGCCAGCGTTGCCTCCACCAACTTTCGGGCTTCTTGTTTCGTCCACTCTGCCTTGGCGGATGCCGCGTCCAGGTGACTTTTTGCCACCTCTGGCAAACTCTGCCAAAACGACTCCCAAGCTGTTTTCACCACCTCCTGTAGCTCCTCGGCCCTTTCCAAGGGCAAGCCGACGATGAAGTCCACGGGCACCTGCAGCCACCCGTAACTTGCCCGGATCTCGGCCGCCTTCTGTACTGCCTCCGCCTGTTTCCCTTCGCGGACCTGCTCGTCCATTTTCTCTGTCCGCAAGAAGCTCGGAATTCCTTCCATCTGCGCGCGCACCATGTCCTCCAATAGGGCCACCACCAGCTCGTCCGGCACGGGGTCCTCTTCCATGCTACTTCGCCCTACAGAAACTTCGCTGGAAGCTACCGCCAAGCTGACGTCCGAGCCACGCGTGCTGCCATGTGTGTCCACCGCGTACACACACAACCTGTGTCGACATTATCTGCCTTTTTTGCCTCAGTCCTTTTTTTTCGCCCACACAGGTGTTTCCTTGCCGCTGCGCGGTCGCTATCGCCGGACATCAACGAATCCCCCACAGACTCTCCCCAACAAAAAACAACCATTTACTGCGCCTAGCTGTCTACTCTTACACTGCGACCCATTCCCCAGAAGCAACACCCGCTGCGACGAGCGCGCTTCCAGCCTCCGGTGTGGCGCTCATGCCTCTGCCTCGCTCCGCCAACGCAACCTGAGCTGCAGCCGCTGACCCCGAGGGAAACTATCGCGGAAAGGATGGTACGTGGCCTCCGGAACAAGATGGTGCCTCGACGGAAGGACATAGCCAGGATTCTTCGCTTGGGGGAAGCACGCGACAACGCGCAGACAGCCAAAGGTGGCTAGTCAAATCGTGTCCTTCAAGCCAACAGTGGCTATGCACAGGAAATCAAACCTTATCCTTGAAGCCACTAGTGGCTATTCACAGGAAAGCCGCATGATCCAAAAGAATCTCAGGCTCGACTCCCGGGGTGGTCGCGGCGCGCCGTGCCCTCTTTCGCTGGTGGCGTTTACTGTCTACCCTAGGCAGCGCCCTACTCCGCCACGCCGCGTAGAACGCAACGCGCCCGAGCAGGGCACTAACCGACGCCCTTGCGCGCCTCGTCCCGCTCCAGCAGCCGTCGGCCTCCGCCAGCCTCCCACATCGCTGCGTGCCGGCGTCTTCCGCTCACGACAACTACACCGAACAGTTTTCCATGGACTGCACGGGGGGACATACATGGGCAACGCCCCCTTGCCTGACGCAACTGAGCGAACACCATGGGCAGCGCCCTTCTCCCACGAAGCTTTGTCACAAAACCTGCCCCTGATGGTCACCAAGAGCATTCCTAGGAAAAATTACGGGCATTGGCCGGGGACACTGGCACAAAATAGGTTGGCAAAAGGTTAACCATTTGCCCTGCGCCGCGGCTCCTGCCGCCCAGCTTCCTTTTTTGTCTGGCTCAACCCTGCTGCGGTGGACCATGCCCTATAGACACAGCCCTCGACACATCATCAATCATTCCAGCTCCTCTAGTGCGCTGCTCCGTGGGAAGCACCCGCCTGGCCCCGCAGCTCCTGGACGACAAAGCGCCCCCAACATTCCAACAGCAGCGAATGTGTCCGCCTCGGGGCAGGTCCGCCCCTAGCCCACTCCTGCAGCGGCCATGGGCAGCGCCCTAGACACTGCCACCTCCTCCACATTCCAGGCGACGATCCCGCTCCACTGCCAGCGTCCTGTCCAGCGCGTCCTCAGCCCCACTTGCCGCTGCTGGCGGCTCATATATCCCATCGCCCGAGCTGATGTATAAGGCCACTCTCGCGGCTGAATTGTAGCAGATCTGGACACAGTGCAGCATCGTCTCCTCAGCCGCATCCTCCCAATCCGTGCTGCCTCTTGCGATCGCCTTCTGCGCCAGACTGTGTCTAGTCCAAATATCGGCCCCCGTGTCGCGAAACATTTTCGCTCTATGAGCCACCTCCTCCCGCCCCTGCAGCAACCTCAGCGCCGCCTGCCTCCTGCAAGTCACGCCGTGGTCATCAATCACGACCCACTGCTGTCCCGCACACATCTCAGCCTTGTTCTCCTTCACAGCCACCACTTCGGCCCTCAGGCAGGTCTGCCGCACAGTCCCCTTCCCTCCGGCCATGAAACTAATGGGCAGCGCCCTGTCGCTCCACCCGCTTCGGATCTCCCGCGAATCCACTCTTCCAGCTCCGGCGTACCCGATCCTCTGTTGCCGCGCCTGTGCGACAGACCCATGTCCCTCATGCTGCCCTTGCCTCTTCCTGCCTACCTTGCCACCAAGCTCCCAGAACACATAGATTGCCCCGCAGGAGCTCCTATTCCGCCCCGGCTGCAGCGCCGAGCCCTTCTGGCGAGACACGATGCTCCACGAAGCTTTGTCACAAAACATGCCCGTGGTGGTCACGAGCAACACCATCGTGGCCCTTGAGCTGTACCCTATACCATCGGCAGCGCCCTGCGCCGCCGCATCCACACTCCTCCAGGTCTGCCCGCCGGGGAGCGCGAAGCTCTCACCACCTGCCGTCCAGGACCGGATCCACGGAGTCCTCATGGTCCAGTCCCTTCCCGCAAGCTGCCCCTGGACCATCAGCAACCATCGCAACCACACTTCTCCAGCCAAAAGTGCTGCCGGTAACTCCCAACTCACGCTCCCCCCGCGCTAGACCCGATCCTCGTACCCCGGCGCTCGCATCCCCTAGCTTCACTCCATACTCCACTACACATCCCTTGCGCGCCTCGTCCAGCTCCGGCAGCCGTCGGCTTCCGCCAGCCTGCCAACGCACTGCGCGCCGGCGTTTTCCGCCCACGACCACTACACCGAGCAGTTTTCCGTGGCCTGCATAAGGGGACATACATGGGCAACGCCCTCGCTGGCTGAAGCGACCTAGCGAACACCATGGGCAGCGCCCTTCTCCCCCAGGAAACGCATAACACAGACACCGGCTGCCTCTCACCCGACCACTTGGGTGATCCTGCATTTTGCTCCAGGGGTGCTCCAGGAAACCCTACCCTCCCCACATCCAGGGCAACGTCCTTCCTCCCACCGTGGAACCACCCGCTTCCACACCCTTCCGTCCCCCCCCCCTGCCTACCGCAGTGCAGACATTCCGCCACGCGCGCGTGCAACCCGCATGTACATGGCTACGGTCTCTTCCCGCACTGGCGCGAGAACCTCGCCACCACCTGCCCAAGCTTCCGTTTGCGCTGCTCCGTCCTAGAACCAACACGCCACATGCCGCGGACACGGGCGCCTGACAAGCATGCGAAAATCTTCCCCGGGCCTTTCACGTTACCACGGGCACTGGCTAGACCTCGCCCAGCGCAAAATCTACACAAAGCCTAGCGCATTCCTGGGAAAATTCCAGGGCATTGGCCGGGATTAAAAATAAGTTTATCAATTTTGGAGCAGATCCGGGAACCTACATGCAGCGGACATGATAAAAAGGAGGAATTCCTACCTGGGGGCGGTCTAAGGCTAAGGCTAAGTCTCACGCTACGGCTAGGCCACGGTTGCCGCTAACATCGCCTCACCCCACCTCTCTGCCTGGAAGCAAGGCTAGCGCTAAGGTCCTATCCCTTGGGGGTCGGCGGCTGCAGGCGGTAGCCTGGTAAATATAATGACTTGGTGGCCCAAAAGCATCATGCGTCAGTCTGATGGCATGCACATGTTTATAAACTTGTGCTTACCAAATCCCTTGAAAAACTGAGAAACGTGTGTTTGCCTGCACCTGCATGTTCGGCAAACCAAGACTCAAGGCCAAAGAGAGGCAACAAATGAAGCGAGAGTCAGGGCTTTTGCTAGCAGTGAGGATCATCGATAGATGAGAACCCCACCTTTGTAGTGAGAACAATACTTATATCAACACGCACAACCCCAGCAAAATGAATCATTTTGTTGGCAGTCGTCAACTCCACCCACCTTTTGAAAGATGTTGAAAGAGATACTGAGACTGTAAAGCAGCCAACTTACAAAATGAGCTTGCAAACATGAGCTGGATAATGCAATTGCACATGCTGATGAGAACCAAGATCGAAGAATCCAATGAATCCAGCCTGAGATTCCTTTGCCAGGAAGCGACCAAAGCCTGCAAGCCGCACGGCAGCGGAGGCAGCCGCCTTCAAAACACAAATATTTAGTAACAAGTGCATCGCTACTAGTAGCTTCTTGTTACTAGTAGCAATGCATTTAGCTACTAGTAGCTTCTTGCTACTAGTAGCGATGCACCTTGCTACTAGTAGCTTCTCGTTACTAGTAGTAATGCCCTTGTTACTAGTAGTAATGCACTTGCTACTAGTAGCCAAATGCATGTCTTGCGTTGTGCTGATTCCATATTGAGTGCAGGTGTCAAAATGTACGCTGAAAGGTGGATGAACGTGACACCTTGTTTCTTGTATTCCAATGCAATATACAGGAAACATGTTTAGAATTTAGACTATGTTCCAGTCTGCTGGAAGGGAGACAAAAGTGCATGTGTCTTCCAGTCGCCAAATCCAACCTCTGTTGCATCTGCCAACACAGAGCCCATCTGCTGTGCTGCAGAAAATGCAAAAGCTGCAAAGCCCTGGGAGGGGCTCATCTTGGCCGTTTTGATCAACCAAACACAATGCACGAACTTGACACTTGCTTTGTTGCGTTCTTCAGACTGGTGGACCTGACCACCTCAAAGCTGCGGCATGCTGCGGCAACAGTGTGCTGTTTTGAAGTACAAGGTTGCAAGGGTTGATCGCACCCTAAAATTTGCGGAGCCAAATGAACAGAGCGAGGTCCTAGCTCCCCTCGGCCCTCGAGCGGGGGGGGAGTTTCCTTGAAGAAGCGTGAGCTTTCCTGCGCCCCAGCTACTAGTAGCTTCCTCGGTCTACTCAGCCTCCGCATTTACTTATATACTAATACTTTCTATTTAACGACAAACACTTGTTATGATTCCCAAAAAATCTAGGAACCAAAATGAATACCGCGAGCTATCCTGCGTCCAGTTACTAGAAGCGAACAAGTCGCCCGTACTTACTTGTTTTCTGTTCTTTTCTTGAGTTTCACTGCTTTTTTTCAACTGCTGGAGTATGATCCACATCTGGTTTCACTCAAACTTGCACAGGTGAAGTAGTTCTCGAAGAAGCACAGGAGAGATTGAAGTTTGATGCTTGAGGGAGAAGTGGAAGGATAGGGAGAATGCAATTGAGGAAGTTCAATTGAGGAAGTTCGGGCTTGGAACAAAGATTAACATTGAACTAAAGTAAAAACATGTTGGTTCATTCATTTATTTCTGTCAACATATTACTATTATTGCTGTGTGACGTTTGCTTGGCTCCACATCGCTCCGCGTTCCACGCCTCTGTGGCACTCAAAGCATTCCGGGTCATCCGAGCCTCAAAGCCGTCGAGGCCCAAGGGGCAACGCAAATCGCAGTGTCAGTCTCGAACAGCCAGTCCGGCAGTCACCTTTTTTTGGGGGGGAGGGGTAGGCCGTGGTAAGCTCAAGAGGTTAGTTAGTAGTAAGGGTAGCTACTAAGCTTAAGCCGCAGCTACTACCTAGGACAAAAGAAAGGCTCAGGTTTCAAGGATACTCCCCCCCGCTGGGTGAGCCTTATTGATTGGGTGCCCAGTTTTTGGTGCCTAATGTGTTAAAAGCAACGCAACAAAGCGCAATGTGTCAAGCGCGGCGGCCGCAGGTAGTCTGCCAGCGAACATATTTTGACAGGCGAGCAGTGAGCAGTGTTTCTTTTAACTTATAGACCCCCAACAAAAGCACAACATCAAAGCTAAGGTACTAAGGGCTGTGAGCGACATGGAACGTAGTTACTGCCGTAGTTCTCCCCAAGGTGCAGCAAACAATTCCATGAAATTATGCATGAATTGTACAGTATGCTGCGTGGTTAGGCGGCTACAGGTAGGAATGAGGTATCACCCCCCTTTATCTATGGGGGGGGGTCACCCCCCCTAAACCACAGAAACGGTTCCACCATGTTTTGCGTTTTGGTCAGAAACCACAGAAATGGCGCACACCGATTGCATCAGCAGTCTTTTTTCGCATCGCTCGGTTTCGTTCACATGGATCGCCCTTCTATCTTCCTCTCTATCTTGTCTTTCTTCCTTTCTATCTTGTCTTCTTTGCGTCATTTCTTTTATTTATATATATATTTGTGCATATATTGATATTTTTCATATTTTTTCCTTCCGTCCTTTCTTTCTTGCCTTCTTCAGTTGTCCCGTGGCACCCTGCAGCGCCGCTCGGCGCCCGCTCGGCGCCCTAAGCTTCCTTCCTTTCCATTCTTCCGTCCTTTCTTCCTTGCCTTCTCTTTCGCTGTCCCGTGGCACACTGCAGCGCCGCTCGACGCCGGCTCGGCGCTCTGAGCGCCGCTCCGCGCCCGCTCGGTTCCCGCTCGGTGCCCTAAGCTTCCTGTCTTTCCATCATTCCACCCTTTCTTTCTGGCCTTCTCTTTGGTTGTCCCGCAGCACTCTGCAGCGCCGCTCGGCGCCCGCTCGGCGCCCTAAGCTTCCTTCCTTTCCATTCTTCCGTCCTTTCTTCCTTGCCTTCTCTTTCGCTGTCCCGTGGCACGCTGCAGCGCCTCTCGGCGCCCGCTCGACGCCCTAAGCCATTCTTCCGTCCTTCTTCCTGGTCTTCTCTTTCGCTGTCCCGTGGCACACTGCAGCGCCGCTTGACGCCCGCTCGGCGCTCTGAGCGTGGATAGGGGTCCAGGTATCTGGTATTTCGAAGTGCAAAACAAGCGAGCGTTGGGTTGTATATCTTGTTACATCGAGCGTTAAATCAAAGAAACAGACCTTGATTTACATTGCGTGGACGCGTTGCCTAATACACTGCATGGACGCGTTGCTTACGCCCGCGGGGCGTAAGCGATGCGGACCCTCAGGGAGCTCCGAGCAGTGGGACCGCGGTGCCGTCCAAAAGGTCGCGTTGCTTACGCCCGCGGGGCGTAAGCGATGCTCCTTGCTTTTTGATTTTTGGCTACATTCAAAGCAAGACCATCATATTCAATCATGCCAGCATGGTCAAGTGAATTCAGGCGGTTCACACGATCTTGGCACTTTTTTAATTATCTTCACACGATCTTGGCGGTTCTTTCCCTGTCTTAATTACTGCCCAAGCGGAAAGCCATCAAAAGTCTTGAATCTGGTGGGCACCCTGGCATCTCCATGCTCAGACTTGTATTCAGTGAGCTTGCTGAAGCCTCTTTCCCATTCAACCGCGTCGCTTGTCAAAAATTCTCGGGGCCACGCGGAGATAAAACTGGAAACATGTTGGCTGTGCAAATGGAATATTAAAATGGAATTCCTAAAGGTACCCCCCCCTCGATCCTCCATTTTCGAGGAGGGGGATCGCTCTGTTCCCGCTCGGCGCCCTAAGCTTCCTGTCTTTCCATTGTTCCGTCCTTTCTTTATGGCCTTCTCTTTGGTTGTCCCGCGGCGCCCTGCAGCGCCGCTCGACGCCCGCTGGCGCTCCGCGCCCGCTCGGCGCCGCTCGGTTCCCGCTCGGCGCCTTAAGCTTGCTTCCTTTCCTTTCTTAATCCGCGCCTTTCTTATTTCATGTTTTGATTCATTCTCAGCAAGGCGCACTGTTGCTGTCTCTTCCCGATCAATTGGTTCAAGGACCAGGGGGTCCTGCTGCAGACTTCGAGGGAGACTGGAGCAGTCCTGACGGCAGAACAACAAGAGCTGTGGGTATCCAGATTGCTTAATGAGGCTTGCGCTGCTTCCAAATGATCATTTTGCTTAGTGGGGAATCTGCGATTTTCACCAGAACAGCGCATCAAAGTCCTTTCCGGAACATCTTGAAACATAAGCCGTATTGATTGGTGCTTGCGACGAACAGACATTTTTCAAAGCTTATTGAGCATCCCCGTGCTCTTTAGGGGTGGGTTTGGAAGTTTCATGCATGAGCACCATGCCACCGTCTCACCCCATGCCCGATTGAGATGCACATCTTGGAGAAGTTGCAGAAATTCTCCTTGGAGGAGATTGATGTCACCACTTTGCGGCAGAACGTTGCCGGACTGCTGCGCCACTTTGAGCCCAAGTGGCGTGCCCGTATCCGTGATGCTGCCATCCAGCTCTCCCAAGCATTCCATGCCAAGTTCTCTTGGAGCGATGATGAGAAGGACAGCAGCCTTCATCGCTGGAGATATAGACTCAGCCATGCGGCATGCACCCAACAGCTGTGGGTCTTGAACTTGGCCATGCGTGAAGTCTTTGCAGAAGGCGCGAAAGCAAGCCGCTGAAGCGAAGAGATTGCAGCAAGTAGAACAGGAAGTGAAGATGACGCAGGACGCTTGCAAGAAGGCTTGGGGCGCTGTGGTTTGCTCCGAGAAGGAGGCCGAGGAAAGGAGGAAAGGAGCCAGCACTTTGCCGCGATGCAGATGAGCCTTTGGAGGTGAGTGGTGGGGCATTTCTCGTGCACGTTGAGGAATGACCATTATTTAAAGCTTTAATCAGAGCTGTGGTTGAGACCGGCGCGTCCATGCCAGCGTCTTATTCTCATGATTTCTCATGCATGCTGCACCGGTCAGGAAGATGGCGCAAGAGAGTTTCGAAAAGCCCCATGATGATTGGGAAGGTGCAATCGAGAAGGCTCGAGAGCTGGTCGCTGAGAAGTGCTTGAGAGCCGTGAGGCCGCCCACAAGGCGAAGGTGGAGGTCAGTACACCCAAATGCTACACGGCATTGCCCCGAGATGTGATGCGAAAGCTGGATGGCGGCCGTCGTGGGGTGACAAACTGACATTTTTTTCTCTCTTTGTGATCATTGTGTGAGGATCTGATGTAGTGATGTAGGATATGCGCGACCACCACATGGCTCATGTAGCTTCACCAACAGGTAGCATCTTGATCTGCCCCCTCTTCATCCTCACATAGGGGGCCCAACTGAAGCGGTAGTGTTAAAAGCCTGTTTTCCCGGTCAATTCCACCACTTAAGGGGGTATGGGGGGGTGGAACCAAACTGAAATTCCAGGGGGTGACCCCCCCCCACTTATTCCACCACTTAAGGGGGGGTGATAATGATGGTATCCACCAGGACCTCTAGTTGTTACCTGTTTTATGCAATGGAGCTTTGTTCTTGTGATTTCAACCTGCCTCGCTCCCTCGATTTGTACTTCATGAATGAGCTTCTCAGCAGGGCTGCACGCACAGGACTTCTGGCCACAGACTGCAAGTGCAAGCGCCGGCATCCGAGGACCTCTGGCAATTAAGAGGTGTTTCGTTAGAACTTGTCCAAGGTCGGCAAAGCCCGAAACCCAGAAAGCGTTGCAGCCTTTGCTCATCTCATTTTCCCCCTGCAATACGACTGTTCGCCGATCTGGTTGGTGAACGCATCTTTTTTTTGACTTGCACGTTTAACAAGGACTCAGACCATAAGCAACCAGGGAACGCATCAGTCCCAAAACCTCGCACCTTCACTTTCCAATTTTCTCCGGTCTCCTGTTCGACCCGGTATGGCGTGACCCAGTGTTTGACTTGACGCTTCATCTCCTCTTCGGTTTGAGCTCTGAGGCGAACATCGGGAACGGAGCAATGTCGCATGCAAAAAGAAAACATTGGATGGGCAAATCAATGAGCAGTTGCATTGTGCAACACCATCAAAGAAAGAAAACACGCCTTGAGAAACACAGCCGAGGCTATGTTGTGACAACTCCGAACTCGCCACAAAGCAGTTCAATGGGATCAGCCAATGGATGAGCTAAATTTGCTATGGACAGCGCAGCCTCTCTGGAACAGAAAGAATTTTACTGCTTGGACATGTAGCAGTCAGTGTTCCGCTCGGATCCGTTTGGTATAGGAATGTCCGCCACCGTGCACAAATACTGGTGGATATTTCTTTGCAACCAATTTGCTTGTCAATGACGCTTTCCTCTTTTTCTTTCTTCCTGAGAGCTTTCCCAGGAGCTCGTTAACAGGCAAGGGAAACATTCCTGTCGGGTCAAAATCACACGCAAAATCAAAAACGCGCATACTGGTTTTCCAGATTCTAGAGGTACTATTGCTCAAATGCTGTCTCCCTTTGATTGGTGCCGTCTGTTCATTGTCTGCCCGAAACTGTTGTAAAGGAAGATGTCGATGTCGATGTGACGCTGTGGTTGTCTGGTGCAATTTCGACCTACATGTTCACAAGGAGTCGTTTTTGGACGTCACAGGGCGCTTGGCAGGAAAGGCACAATCACACGGGCAGAAAGCCAGTGTTTGATTCTTGTAAAACCATCCAAACAACGGTTAACCCTAGGATTCTGTGGTCGGAGCTTGACCGACAACTTTTTCAACAACAGAGTTTGTGGATGAAACTAAAAGGTTCGTCCAAATTGACAAATTGAGAGTAAAACAATCACAGTCCCAAATGGTGGGACCAATATATACCTAGCGACCCTAACCATCATCGACAGTAAGGAGAAGTATGGTACAACTTAAAAGTTCAATAAAAAAACAGGCTAGGGAAAGTGGAGGCACTTGACAAGCACCGGCAGGTTCATGCAAAAACCATGTGGGCCAGCCAGTGAAGATTACCACGCCCAAATCATGTCTTGCCAAAAAATTGCCCTTGATAAGAAGCGCGGCCGCATCGTAGTAGACCCGCTCCTCTGAATCCTGAAATTGAGACCATCAGCTCTTGAGTTTGTTGTTGCATCTTGTTGCAACACTCCAATCGCTGCACTCTTTTGTCTACGTTTAAATGTTTAATGAAACACATCCTTGCACTGCTCCATGTTTGCCCCAACAAACTGATCTAGATCATCTCCAAGCGGCCGTCAAAATGCGGTATGCCCTCTGGATTAGCATCCATTCCTTAAATCTTGCTGCCCCAATCAGGCCCCACCGAAAAGAATTCAGCCAAGGCCAGAACCATGGATTCTCGCCTCGCACACATGGAACCCCGACATACCCCGATACCCAAAGCGAATGCCAAACAATTTCTCCGAACACTGTTGGCAATGCTGCCAGCTGATATTTTGTTGTCGTGTTGCAACATTATTCAAATATTTAGGATACACTATTTTCCTCTGTTGCCATGCACTTCGTTGCAGTCTTGCAACTAAAAGAAGCGCTTAGGCATATATTAGAATGAAATATATAACATACATGTATATAAAATATGGTTATAATATGAATACGGTGTGTGATGTCTTGCGCAGTCTCGCCCATGGCGACTTTTCTATCGCTTGGAAAAACGGCACTAGAAGGCTGTGTACCTCGGCCGGTGCCTCCAATAAAGAAACGATATAATGGGAGCAAGGACGCTACTAACTAGGGGCTCCTGGCATATGGGCTCCTGGCATCGCTACTAGGAGCAAGGACGCTACTAACTAGGGGCTCCTGGCATCACTACTAGGAGCAAGGACGCCACTAGGGGCTCCTGGCACCTCTACTAGGAGCAAGGACGCTACTAGGGGCTCTTAGCATCGCTACTAGGAGCAAGGACACTACTGGGGGCTCGTGGCATCGCTACTAGGAGCAAGGACGCTACTAGGGGCTCCTGGCATCGCTACTACGAGCAGGACGCTACCAGGGGCTCCTGGCATCGCTACTAGGAGCAAGGACGCTACTAGGGGCTCCTGGCATCGCTACTAGGAGCAAGGACACTACTAGGGGCTCCTGGCATCGCTACTAGGAGCAAGGACGCTACTAACTAGGGGCTCCTGGCATCGCTACTAGGAGCAAGGACGCCACTAGGGGCTCCTGGCACCTACTAGGAGCAAGCACACTACTAGGGGCTCTTGGCATCGCTACTAGGAGCAAGGACGCTACTAGTAGTACTAGGAGCTCCTGGCGTCGCTACTAGGAGCAAGGACGCTAGTAGGGGCTCCTGGCATCGCTACTAGGAACAAGGACGCTACCAGGGGCCCTTGGCATCGCTACTAGCGTCCTTGCCCTGGCATCTCTACTTAGAACAAGGACGCTAGTAGGGGCTCCTGGCATCGCTACTAGGAGCAAGGACGCTACTAGGGGCTCCTGGCATCGCTACCAGGAGCAAGGACGCTACTAGTAACAACATCCTACCAATCACATCGTGGTGACACTGGTCGAGTGGGTACATCGTGGTGACACTGGTCGAGTGGGTCAATTTGTGCGCCTTGAAGTGCGCAACGTGAACTACTAATGTTAGATTCATATTAATAAGGTGGTCAACCTTTTATAGTTGTTTAACAGAGGTTTTTCCAAAAACCTGGCGCGGTGCTCTCTGGAGCGTCCCTGTTTGGTGCTCTATTTGAGAGTCCATGTAAAAATAAACGTCAGTGAAGACCAGGAAAAGGATGCCCGAAAGGTTGTTTTTGGTTGTTTTCCAATGTGTTTCGGGCATCGTGCATCAATGCGAAGCCCTATAAAGAGCAGGGCTGGGAGAAAAAAAGAGAAGAGCACTCATTCTTGAATGGTTGTAGTTTTCGTGGAGCTGGTATCACTGCGACGTAGATGAAGATCGGAGCGCAGCATGAAGTGTTGAATGTTTTTAGTATTCTTGATTTGCTTGGTGCGGCGCCTTCGGGAGCGTCCCTTGTTGGTGTTCTATTTGAGAACCCATGCAAAAACAAACGTCAGTCAGTGAACACCAGGAGAATGATGCCCGAAATGGTTCCTGTGGTTGTGTTGAAATGTGTTTCGGGTATCGTGCATCAATGCGAAGCCCTATAGAGAGCAGGGCTGGGAGGAAGAATAGCAGAGCACCTATAGTTGAAAGCTTGTAGTTTCGTGGAGCTGGTATCACTGCGACTGAGATCAAGATCGGAGCGCAGCATGAAGTGTTGAACACTTGCAGCTTTCTTGCTTCTCCTCTTGCGGCGCTCTTATCCCCTCCAGTGGCCTGACTGGCTTGCCGGACACGTGTGTTGGTGCTTGATGTGCTTGGTTGGGGCGCTGAAGGGCGCTGAAGATTGTCAAGGGGAGACAAATGCACAACGCCCAGAAGTTCAGGTCAGCAACACCAGCGCATCCGAGACTGGATGCAGTGGCAGGATCCTCCCGCGACAGTTCAGAAGCCCTGTAGATCCGGCCTCGCCTGCTAAGTATGGAGGTTTCCTTGGCTGTAGTGGGAGTTTCCTGCTGCTGACCACGCTGGAAATCCTTCAATCTGGATACAGGACACGTGCAATTTTCAGCGGTCTTGCGGGAAGTAATGTGTGGGAGAAGTTTTCTCGGAGAAGACGGCTTGAATGATGCTGGTGGTGCTGGGCGAATTAAACTAATATGCATTATAATATGTTATAAGTAGTAGGGTTTGGCTTACTTGATGTGCTTTCTAATGTAGTCCCTTGATTTATAAGCCCCCCCCCCTCAACAACCAAGGCCTCCAAAATAATGTATATGAAAATCAATCAGTTGATAATTAAATAAGGAATCCTTAGCTAGCTACCTCTGGAGCCACTCTCGCAATATTAAATTAAAAGGAAATAAGAATTCCTAACTTTGAAGACCTCTGGCAATATTAAATTAAAAGGAAATAAGAATTCCTAAGTTTGAAGACCTCTGGCAATATTAAACTAAAAGGACATCTCAAATTTCTTAATAGAAATCTCCATCCAAAAGCCTCCAAAAGCATCAAATCTCAATGGAAATCTCAACTTTTCTAATAGAAATCTCCATCCAAAAGCCTCCAAAAGCATCAAATCTCAATCCATCCAAAAGCCTCCAAAAGCATCAAATCTCGATGAAAATCTCCAAATTTTCAATAGAAATCTCCATCCAAAAGCCTCCAAAAGCATCAAATCTCGATGAAAATCTCCAAATTTTTTAATAGAAATCTTCATCCAAAAGCCTCCAAAAGCATCAAATCTCAATGGAAATCTCAAATTTTTGAATAGAAATCTCCATCCAAAAGCCTCCAAAAGAATCAAATCTCAATGGAAATCTCCAAATGTTTAATAGAAATCTCAATCCAAAAGCCTGTAAGATACGCAAATCCCAGCAAATTCAAAAGGGAAAAAGTAAACTATAACAATAAAAAATCCACTACAACTACCCCTCCAAAAAAAAAGACATTATTCTAGGGGCCTTTATAAATCAGTGCAGGGATCCCCTTTACAATTACCCCTAAGGGGTCAAGGCCCCATTTTGTAGGTATAAACCTGGGGGGCATACCCCCCCCCTACAAAATGAGTAGGGGTGTCAAAAAGTAGGCTGTACAAACTGACCGGTCTAAGCACCAATGCCCCGGGTAGCTGCCCATCTCAAGATTAGACATTATGCAGGGGTCATGCCCCGAAGTTTTATATGGAATTCACTGTTCAAAGCGGATCTCTGGCCTCAAGATGTCAAAAACAAAAGACCCATTTTGTAAGGACATAGCTGCTGGATTGCTGCTGGGTCTTTTTTAGCGTTCTGCCAGCCGATCCATGTCCGTTCAGATCCCCTATCTGTAGGACAAAGTATCTGCATCGCCGTTGTTGTCTATTGCATTTCATGGGTCCAAGCTGCTGGTGGATAAATTAGTGAACTTAGGGCAACGTGGATGCTTGTAATGGGCACCACATAGAAAACATCTGGGTTAT